CCCGACCCCTAGATCCGCTCGTTCCGCCCATTTTCTGGCCCCTGGATCCGCCCCTGCCGCCCATTTTCCGACCCCTAGATCCGCTCCTGCCGCCCATTTTCCGACCCCTGGATCCGCTCGTGCCGCCCATTTTTCGACCCCTGGATCCGCTCCCGCCGTTCGCCGTCTCCTCGGCAGCTGTCCGACGCCCGTTAGCGCGCCCAGCAGCGCCCAGCAGCGCCGCCGGCCGCTACTGCACGGTGGCATTCGGTCCGGCTGAACGTCACCGTTGGGTTCCCACGAATATCGCGCAGCGTTACCCTTTGCAAATATCCGGCCGGCGCGCCCGGGCGGCGGCGCGGTCACGCCTTCGGGTCGTTGCTCACCTGACCTCGTGACCACGGCAGCCTTGAACGCCACGCTCGCCCGTGGTCACCCCGGCGACCGCTGTGACAACTTGGCTGATGCCGTCAAACACCTCAACCGAACTCATGCGCTTTACATAGCGGTAGAACCTTGCACGTTTGGGGCTGGTGCAACCAGGCATGAATATGTGTGTATCGTCTGGGCAGGCTGCTTCACGGCCAGTGAATACACACACATACACACACACACACACACACACACACACACACACACACACACACACACACACACACACACACACACACACACACACACACACACACACACACACACATACACGCACACATATATATATATATATATATATATATATATATATATATATATATATATATATATATGGCTGGCTTTTGTTTGACGTCTTAGGGAAGTACGTAGCCGGGCGGTTAGAACTCGCTTCCTACCTGTAGATTCAGAGAGCTGGGCCCGATTCCCGCCGCAGGAGACTTACTAGTCCTGATTTCCACCGGGGCTGGTCATCACTGGTAACAAAAGCAGAGCTGCCACATGAGCTCTACTGTGGGGACGTTACGATTCCTTTCGCGTTTCGGACGCTCCTTTCAATCACCCCATCGATGAAGCAACTTGGTGACGTCACGCCATCTCTCGAGCAGCTTGGTAGCGTCACCCCATCTCTAAAGCAGATTGGTGTTGTCACGCCATCTCTAAAGCATATTGATGACGTCACTCCGTCTCTAAAACAGATCGGTGATGTCGCTCCATCTCTAAATAGCTTGACGACGTCACTGCATCTCTACAGCAGTTTGGTGACGTCACTCCATCTTTAAAGCAACTCAGTGACGTCACGCCATCTCTACAGCAGACTGGTAGCGGTGACCGTTGTCCATGTCGAGTCGAGACCAGCATAGCCCGCGACTCTAGACAGTGCTCGGCGCGCGGGCGGCGCGCGCAGGCTTTCGTCACGTGACCTGACACCTGTCACCCAGTGTTCGGGGCTGGGATCTCCCGGCTCGGACTGGGGATGGCTCGTGTGGCATACCGGCCAGCTCGCACCAATGCCGAGTCGGTGGCATCGAGGTTGCTGCATGTTCCTACCCTTTAGGCCGTGATTGGTCTTCGCGGGACGTAGCGGGGGCGAGAGGTGGCGAAGGTCCGCCATGATTGGCTGCCAGTATGTGACGTGGCTGTGGTGAGAGCATGATGCTTTGCGTATCTTTCCACACATATATATATATATATATATATATATATATATATATATATATATATGTATATATATATGTGTGTGTGTGTGTGTGTGTGTGTGTGTGTATACATATATACATATATAAATGTACTGGGGGCTCTTATACCCTATAGCTCTAGCTCTAGCCTATATCTCCTATAGCCTATAGCCTATAGCTCTAGGAGTCCCTTGTACATTTTGTCCAGCGCTGTTTTTTGTTTCCATTTGGTGTCTAGCTTTACAAAGTAAAAGCTTGAAAGGATATCTCTTTGGCAAGCCATATGTCGATGTGTATCCGAAAATGTGCGGGCAGACCTGCGTTCGACACAATTTTTTTTTAGCCCGTTCAGTACCGGCCCACAAATTTTGGGGTCCGATTCAACTCGTGACTCATATCCCTTCCAAATTGTTTTTATTCAGCTCAGTTCCGACTCATCGCTCGCGTTCAATCACTTAGCTCATGACTCACGAGGCTTGCGAAATTAAAAATCCAATTCAGTTCTGGCTCGTTGCCTTATCACTCATGAGCCAAATGGCTCATTGATATACATATATATGTATATATATATATATATATATATATATATATAATTTTATGAAAATGGGTTCGAATAGCCAGTAGCAAGTTCGTGGTTTAAACATAGCAAATGCAGCACAGTAAACAATACCTTCCATGCAGCTTATTACCACCCAGCTCTTTAAGTCTCAGCTCTAGGCTAACACATTTTACCTGGCACCTACGACCCAGAACCATAAGTTAAATGGCATGCAAACAGACAAGACTGTACAAAACCTGACTAAACATGACTGTACTAAACCTGCACATGCCAAGTGCACACTACACGAATGTACATGTATGTACATGCACCTGCCTGTGTACATTCACACGTAGTCAGCCACATTTCCACTGGCCAGTGCTAGCTATGCCGTCGGTGATGGCACGTCAAAAACTCAACATCAGGTTGCGGTTATTGCAAGGACGTTAAGTACTAAGCTGCCGGGTACGGGGCTAAAACTCAAGAATGGCAACTGGAAAGGACTCCGAACGATGGAAAGACAGCAAAGGATGATAACCCGATAGGGACTTACACGGGCCAAGAAGAAAGGACAGAGGGATAAGGCTTCCGTCCATCGAACGGTCCCACGCACTCAACGTCACGCGCCTGAAATGTACTTAAAAAGACCACAAAAAAGGAAATTACCTGTTTTAAAACTGGAAGTAGTTATTCAAGCATCCTGGGAAGTAACAGTTACCGGTATGCGATCTTCAAGATCTCCAAACCGCTAACAAACGAGAAGATCTGCTGTTTATTTCATATAGCCCAGCACTAACAAGCTTAAAACAGTTTAAGTAGTGAATAGGGGGTCAGGTATACATAAGTTAGTGGTTCTGATCATGGTTTTGAGAAATAATAATGAAAAATATGACCAACCCTCGGCTTTTATGGGCAGCAGACAGCCTTTCATTGATTTTTGAATAGAATATAGGAACGTAGGATGTCCACACCTTATAACATACCCTGGTTTCTAGCTGAGATTCGATAAACCTTAGATCAGGACCAACAATATTTTACTTGCTGCTTAGCAATTACGACAAAAAACTTAATGACGATTTTGCAAAAAGGTTTATATCTAACGTTGCATGCCGTTCATTTCACCGCTCTGAAATGGTCTCTTAATTTGTTTGGGACCTGCTGTGTTTTCTTATGCCGCCATTTCAATTTGAGCCATATGGGTCACTGACACGACTTAGCTAGAAACGATTGGCTCACGATTCGGAAAATAAAATCCACAAAGAATGTGGTTCAGTTCATGGTTCAAAGCGGCATTTTTGCCCGACGAGCCGACTCAGCTCGCGGCCCACCCCAAAGCGGTTGCCTCGAGAGGCAATTCACGATTCAGCTCGAGTCGAACGCAAGTCTGTATGCAAGTCGGAGGTTTTGATGACCCGCCACAAGCCACAATGGTGGCTTGTCGCGATGGTTTTTAATCGATAAACAACCGATCAGCTGTCAATACCACGTGCAATCGCCGTGTAGCGTGGCGTACTGATAATCTGAGGATGTCACTGTCACGAGGGTCCTGGTTCGCCCTTGAAGTATGGATTCAGGGCAATCATGAAATTGAACTTAGGGTAAAAATAAACAAACTAATTCTCCCTCGTGTTTTTCTGGATGGCCACGACCGACGTCTGCCTCCGACCACATTCTTGTTTCATTAAAACGAAAGTACGAGTCTGCGTATTTTGGTTTTGCGGGCTATCAACTCATAGGCCAGAAACAGCTTCGCCCGACGTAAGCGTTCTGCTTACCAATGACGTCAGAGCGGAGAGATGAGGTAAAATCAGTTTGTGTCCAGTTCGTAACCTAATCCCACGTAATTAAGAAATGACGAGTTTGTGGTTCGCGTTATAAAACTAAGCCCAGGTCTAACGGGGACCCACCCCGGCTATGAGCGCTAACACCACAGTTGAGATCACTGATCGTTGGTGCCCCCACCGCACTTCACAGTCAAAGACGATGGGACAACGCCCTTCCGAGACCCAGATACGATCAGTATAGCGGCACCCGGCGACGCGCTAACGCAACCACTATCTGACCTTCCGCTGGACAATGGTCACGTGTCATTGCGTGGCGGACGGCGACCTCCTGACCTTTGCTAGAACCGTTCGGCGTCCCGGCTCGTCCAACCGCTACCTGACTGAACATCACGTTCACCAGGACATTATGCATGACGTTAAGCAATAAATCGCCTGAAAATGGGCTTAGGCTGGATACGCCGTTTGCAGCGATCAGTGCACCATACTGCGGTGTTGTGACTCGTTCCAAAAGCATTCAAGATCAGGAGCTTGGTTTTGCAAAATGATTGCATTAAAGAGGGCTAAACAGTGAAAGATGAAGGAAGATTCGACCATTTGTTGTGTTCTGATCACACAAAATGGCACCAAAACACGGATGAACTTAATATTCAAGGCAGTGGTTGTCATTGATCAGACGCTTAAGTGCGTCGTTGTGTATCTATCTAGCTACGAAACCCAGTTTGAAGTGGATTTATCGTATGTTATTTGTCAGGCATTCAAAGGCACTGGCTCATTCGTCTCAACCATTTAAAAAAAAAGATGCAATGGTTTGGATACCGCTCATCCCTTGCACATAACATAGTCCGTAGAATGTATGCGACTTTGACCGAAGACATTTCAGCCAAAATTCTGGGGATGATGCACATGCACCAACGCTATCTGAAACGTGTACACAACCCCACATGATATTTACAGGTTCAGAGGTATCACCCATACCTGCTTTCAACTAGCGGTCATCAGTGCACCAAGTCCGTTGTTGCATTTCCTGCTTCGAAGTTTGGCTGCAGTGACGTCACTGCGGGTCCCCCATCTTTGCAACGCTAAATTCCCATGGCGAACCTCCGGTACTGCCAGCGCCTCTTCACTACCCACCACCAACTTCACGCAGCAATCGCCTGCCCGATCCTGGCCACCGGCCGCCGTGACCCGCACGTCCCGTCCCCACCCATCTCTGCACGCCCTCTCCACCTCCACACCCCCGCCGTGCGCTCACCTCTGCACCCTCTGACATGCGCTCACCTCTGCACCCTCTGACGTGCGCTCCGTTGCAGCCCCGGCTGCGCGCGCTCGGGCGGCGCTGCTGAGATGCTCAGCAGCCAGCTGCAGCTGCCCAGCCGGCTGCGGACGCTGCTGCTGGGTGACGAGCCGGCCCAGACCAGCGCGGCGCCGCCCAACTGGACGCTGGCCCGGCCCGACACGTGGGAAGGCGTCATCGACGCGCTGTATGACTACATCGAGCGGCCGCACGCGCACTGCAACAAGTCCGTACGTGTCGGCGGCCAGCCCGACTACAAGACTCGGCACTTCGATGGCTACAAGTGGGTGTGCCTGGACCCGGAGCTGGGCATGCTGGAGACGGACCGCTGCCTCATCTACAGCTTCGGCGTCGACCACGACTGGTCGTTCGACGACAACGCGCAGCTGCTCGAGTGCGAGATCCACGCCTTCGACCCGTCCATAGGCGCCACCGACCACAAGCGCTCCGCGCGCATCTTCTTCCACAACATCGGCATCGGCGGCCGGAACGAGGTGAAGACAGTGCGCCGGGGGCTGGTGTCGACGCGCCGCTGGGACATCCGCACGTACGAGGGTGTCGTCCGCTTCCTCGGCCACCTGGACCGCACTGTGCACTACCTCAAGGTGGACGTGGAGGGCAGCGAGTGGGACATGTTCGCGCAGATCTTCGCGCAATCGCCGCACCTGCTGCGCAACGTCAAGCAGATCGGCATGGAGGTGCACATGGCGTTCGTGCCGGGTAGCAAGGTCGGCCTGGACATGTGGAAGCGCTACCTCAGCACCTTCATGCAGCTGGAGAGGATGGGGTTTCGGCTGTTCCACTCGGAGGTGAACCCGTATGAAGCACCGCGCAACCTGTTTAAGTGGACGCCGCGCAAGGTGTCAAGAGTCTACGAGCTCGTGTGGCTCAACCAGCCGTGGTAGGGCCGATTTGTTGTGACTTTGCGGGAGCTTAGTATCCATCGCAGCTGTTCAGAGTGTGGGGTGATGTGGTGCTATGCAGAGTGGTGCGTCGTGACTCGCGATGATATAATGCCCGACTTTCTGCGCGATTGAGCGACGGTAGGTCGCGAAGCTCAGGGTCATGAATCTGGAGCGAGAGGTCATGGATCTGGAGCGGAGGTCATGGATCTGGGCGAGAAGAACGGAGGTAAACCAAACTGTGATCGACTCTCGTGCAAAGGAAACATTCTTCCGCGCCCGAGAGACGCATGTTTAAACCTTCAACACCAGGTGTGTGTGTGTGTAGAAAGTGTGTGTGGGGAGGGGGGGAGATACATTATCCTGACGGCCCCTTACTGCACCTAAGGACTTTGTTACATGCTGTTTGTGCACGTTGTTCAGCTCGGCGATGGTATACGTGGGTGTTGGATGGCCTCGGCGGTCCACAAACCAGGCTCAGCAGCGCGCAAACAGCGGCAAACAGCCGAAATGTTGATCATGAATGGCTTCACGAACACTTTGACAGCATGCACACTCCAATGATCGCAACTTGCCTCTTTCGAGGGTGTCCAAGGCTCATAACACAGGTCGATATTATGAACTGTGCGTAGCGGGTGAAAGATAGAATGTTAATGATCTTCACGCTTTTAAATTACGAAGCTTGCTAATGTACTACGCTGTTGCGAGTTTGATGTCTGCTGTGATCGTTGTTATCTTTTTACACATATGTAAAACAAATACATTACATGTCTAACCATTCGATGCGCGCAAAGGTAGCGTATATCAAATAAGTGTAATGTATACAACAAACTTATTTGATATGTGAGCCTTTGCAGATATTCCGAATGTGGCAGGACCTTGTTACGCAATCCCCCGCTACAGCTTGTCTCGCCCCCCCCCCCCCCCCCCCCCAGCAGAGTTTATTTTAGCCGGTTAACTTTGGACAAAGCGGTACAAATCTCGCCTTACGGATCATTCCTGTCCCATCAGTGATCAGCCGCGTTATCTCAGTTTGATCCGCGGCCAACTGGCGCGCATGAGGTATTGCGCCACCCAAGACGACTAATCGATACCGCGTAGTACACCAATGAAGATCCCATATAGTCAAAGCGGCCCTAAAAACTCCTTCTCTACAGGGTCATTCTGTGTCAGTTCACCAGCATACAATTCACCATAACTTCCGATCTGATCTTTTTGAGGGTTTCAGAAAAGACGAAATGGCCTTCGCTGTACTATTGTAGATACCGCTCGCATCCCGGGGCGACATGAACGTGACAACGAACGTAACAGCAAAACTACCGCGTTAGATCACAAAGCTCTCAAATCAACCTCGCCGATTAAATGGTTCGACTTTGGGGCAGCAGAAACTGAGCCATCACGGCCAAGCAGCAATCAATCATGTCTTCCTGTAACCTCCACAATGTAACTATTGTGTTCACTGCACAACCGGTGGCGTCACTCCTGACTACCTTGGATTTGCCGGACCACTTTCGTGGAGGATTTATGGAAGCTGCTCACAAATGCGATGTGAAGCAGAGCATATTTGTGTACATGGGGTTCTCCTGTGTTTTGAGGCCGATGCTAAGCTAAAGTGGCACTGCCTAGCATCTCAATATCGTGCCGTTTTGCTTTGTTTCGCCAGTTAACACGCACCCGGGTGGCCGGCTAGATACCCTTCGCTCGGGTGGGGGGATCAATTGGCCCCCCTCCCCCCTGAGATCATGTCCGTAAAATTAGCGATTTATTCAGCGATTTTTTCAGCGACGAGTTCTGATTTCCCTAAAAAAGGGTTTCATGGTCAATTGTGGCATGAGAACACCAAAAATGACCATTATTTTGCAATGTCATGCGACCTTCAAGGTCAAAAGCTGGCTTAAAGGACGGGGAACACAAAATAGCCCAAATATTACCGGTCGATTTTCAACTTGCAAATGTCAGAATATTCACCACAGAAAGAGCTAGCGTCCGTCAAAAAATCCTCACCTCTCAAGGTCACCCTTCAAGGTCAAACGCGGGCTCAAAGGATGGGGAACTCCATATCACCCAAAAATTACCGCCCGATTTTTAACTTGCAGACAAAAAGATGTTCACCACCAAAAGAACCAGCGTCCCTCAAAAAGTCCTGACCTCTTAAGATCACCCTTCAAGGTCAAACGCGGGCTCAAAGCTTGGTGCTTTTAGTGCGTTAGTTTGCTAATTATTTCGGTGCAAATATTCTTATGTTTGCAAGTTTAAAATCGGTCGGTAATTTTTGCGTGATATGGAGTTCCCGTCCTCTGACCACGCCTTTGACTTTGACGGGTGACGTTGAGAGGTCAGGACTTTTTCTGTGGTGAATGTTTTGATTTTTGTAAGCTAAAAATCGGCCGGTAATTTCTGGGTGATATCGAGTTCCCCGTCTTTAAAGCCGACGTTTGACCTTATAGGGTGATCTTGACAGGTCAGGATTTTTTGACGGACGCTAGGACGCTCTTTCTGTGGCAAATAGCCTAATCTTTGCAAGTTAAAAATCGGCCGGCAATTTTTGGGTGATATGGAGTTTCCCGTGCTTTAAGGCCCCGTTTGAACTTAAAGGGTGGCCTTGATAGGTCCGGACGTTTTGAAGGACACTAGCTTTTTCTGTAGTTAATGTTCTTATCTCTGTAAGTTAAAAAATCGGCCGGTAAATTCTGGTTGATATAGAGTTCCCCGTCCTTTGAGCCCACGTTTCACTTTTAAGGGTGACCTTGAGAGGTCAGGACTTTTTAACGAACGCTAGCTCTTTCGCTGGCGATTATTTTGATAGTTGATGTTTAAAATCGGACGGTAATTTTTGGGTGATATGAAGTTCCTCATTTTTTAGCCCTGGTTTGACCTTGAATGGTGACCTTGAGAGGTCAGAATTTTTTGAGGGACGCTAGCTCTTTCTGTGGTAAATGTTCTGATCTTTGTGAGTTAAAAATCGGTCGGTAATTTTTGGTTGATGCAAAGTTCTCCGTCCTTCCAGCCCACGTTTGACTTTGAAGGGTGACCTTGAGAGGTCAGGACTTTTTGACGGACGCTAGTTCTTTCTGTGGGGAATATTCTGACATTTGCAAGTTGAAAATCGGCCGGTAATTTTTGGGTGATGTCGAGTTCCTCGTCCTTTGACCCAGCTTCTGACTTTGAAGGTCACATGATATTGCAAATAAGGGTCATTTTGGCGTTCTCATTGCACAGTTGACTTTGAAACCGTTTTCCAGGGAAATCGGAATTCGTCGCTAAAAAAAAATCGCTGAATAAATCGCTAACTTCACGGACATCCTGAGATCTCGGGAACTAAGGAAGCTAGAGATTCTAAATTTACAGGGTGTGTTGATCAGTACATGAACTCACCTAGGTTAACAATTTTAGATTTGTAGCTCATGACCTTTGGGTCAAAAATGGTCAAACAAAGTCAAGTTCAAGGTTGGTCTCTGAAGTGCCTCAGAACCTAGATAATCGTTTCTAAGAATAAGGTCACATTCTCATTAAGGTCAGTGGCCTTGCTTGACCTTAAGAAGGTCAAGGTGACCAAAATCATGGAAGATTGCTTTGAGTTTTGCATTTGACTAAGCGACAAAGATTACGCTAGGCAGTATGTTCCTAAAACAAAATACTGACCTGGGTCATTTTAGATCAATGACCTATTCTGACCTCTGAAAAGTCCATGGAAAAATCTAATGCGGTTCCTGCTATCAGTAAATTCGAAATAAGCACCAGAAACTATCCCATACAGCAAGCCCTAGAGTAACAAAACAGGTTGTTTTTTACATTGGTGTGACCTTTATACCTGACCTTAGGTCCATTTAGTTTGCTTGTTCAACTGTTGTGTTGCCCAAGAAAGCATCTCAGAGATGTATGGCTTCGTCTAACACTCCGTTGTTGGATCAGATTAAAGGATTCCCTAGAAACTGCCTTCGCTGAAACCATGGTCTGACTTTGACCTGCCATAGGTTAGCGACCTTACAAGGTACATCTCAATTGTTGATGCCAAACGATCCGCTATTCAACTGAATTCAGCTGTGCAAAATTTGGCGCGGCTTTGCCGCGCCGTCCGGAAACCATTCTGGAAAAACCTTCGGGGGGGGGGGCAATTTGATCCCCCACCCGAGCGCGTGCTAAAGGCAACAGGCAAATCTGTTTTGCACTTTTTACTGCTGCACCGGATGCGTTCGATTTTGGTAGGCCATACAAGTTTTCTCGAAACCGTTCTGAATATCTCAGACTTTCTAACTAAAGTAGCCACTCTGACGAGAGAAACGCCATTGAATTCCCAAACGTTCGTTTCTACGCACATCAGTAAGGCCCATAAATGCCAAGCACACATGACTGCAACACTTCAGGCTTGCCAAGAGCTGGATTGTTTGTGTTTATTGATAACTTTTATATTCATCATGGCAATCCTCATGTCTATTTGGAAAGGAACGTTCCACATTTGTATGGAGTCTTGAACTACAATTCCCATCTTAAAGATCATTCGGTGCAGTTCACAGCCTTGCCCTTCTTAAGACCTAAAACTCTATGGAGTTAAACGCCCGCGAAGATGTGCAAACTGTTTCGGGGAGACTACTTCAAGGTCACCCAGGTGTCCGAGGCGCCATAATACCGTCATTCAAATCATGCCATTTCATTAGCCATGCGGCCATAAAGGCCAAGAAAAATATTATTATTAAGCCGTTCATATCTAGCGTTCATGAGCACGACTTCCAGATATAACGGCCGCCAGCTGGCTCCCAATCAATGTTGTATAAGGTACGACGGCATAACCAAGCAATCATGTATTGATAACCATATTTACTAAACGAAGAAACTGTGTTGTTTAAAGCAGTCTTTTCCATTTGAAAGTATAAGTAAGCTTATTTCATCATATCTGATCCTTGCTAAAATATCTTCAAATGCGGAACATTCCACAAAACGTGGAACGAGATCGACGTTAAGTCCGTGCGTACAGTCAAGAATGTTGCGATAAATATCTCACTTGTTGTTTTTAATTGTGCATGACAAAGACCACAACAGGTGGTAAATTCCCTTAAAAGCAACGATTTTCGAGCTAAGATGACCACATAAATTTGCGTCTGTGAAAGGAAGGCTTGTTTTTTGATGCATGGAAGAAAAAAACTTAAACCGCTGAAATATTTGGAGGTTTGCAAAATAATTTTTCATGGCCCGGCTACGCTGTGCCAAAACTTGTCAATTAGCGGGCAATTTAATATCCGAAACTTTGACTCATGACATTAGATGTGCCTTGTAATATTGCTGACCCATGAGAGACCAAAGTCGGACCATGGCTATCAGCGAAGGCGATTCCTGGGGAACTGTTCTCCCTAATAACATAAAGGAGTTTTGCATGAAGTCATACATATTTGAGATGGTTTCTTAGACAATTTAAGTTCAGATTGTAAATCTACTCGCCGTGGGTCAGGTGTAAAGGCCGGTTCGTGGGCAAAACTAAATTACTTCTGTGCCCGAGGATTTGACGTTCATGTCGAATATTTTTAGCACAGGAGTGTCCACTAACATCTTGTCGGACTTAATGACGGTCAGCGAAGGTCACTGACCTGAAATAGCTCGATCATCTTTTGTTGTTTTTGTAGGAGTATGCCACCTAGCGTAATTCTGGACGATTATCTGAATAAAAAGTCACAGCAATCTCACAAGCTGGTGGTCGCTGTCACCTCCTCAAGGTCTCACAAGATCACTGGCCTAAGATCAACATTGGTGACCTTATGTTTAGAAGAGGCATCTAGGTTACAGGTGTTGCAGGACGTCTGAGGGCAAGTTGAACACCGATCCGAAGTTTGACCTTGTTTGACATAATGTCACCCGAAACTCATGACTCTGGGACCTAACATTTTTACATAGGTCAGCCAGACTTGCATACACTGTGGATTTGGTGTGTATACCTCTCTTATTTTTTTTTTTTTAGATCCTATCAGTTAATTCCCCCTAACGCGTCGCACTCAATCGGCCGGCAGGGCGCGTGTTTCAATAGATCATCTTCAGCCTGGGCCGTCACTTTGTTAACTGCCAGGGGAAGGCTGAACCCACCCCACCCCCAAACCCCATTCCAAATGCTGACTTAGCACCCTCGTTGTACTTCTACGTTCCCCCACCCCAACGCATATGAGCAAAAAAGGGATGCTATATATGAGAAGGGAAAATATGTAGTATATGATAATACACCATGCATATATATATATATATATATATATATATATATATATATATATATATATATATATATATATATATATATGCGCAAGGGGTATCAATTTGTTGTACGCATGAGTCATACATGTTTTGTTGACCTTGTCCAGGCCTCGCGTCGCGTAGGTGTAAATTGCGCAGTTTTTTGTATGCTGGCCTTTGACTCCGGCTCGTTACCATTGCACCTAAATAAAATAAAGCTGTAAACCAAGCAGAACCTTCAAATCTAAAAGAACAAAGTGAAATCATGCATTTCTTATGCAATCGATGTTTCAGTGAGTGCATGGAAAAATAATGATCCAAATACAAAAGTTTTGTGCAAGCATACGTAAAGATTAAGCTGTTTTTTCGCTACTGTACCTTGTCTAGAAAATCTATACATTTACACACACACACACACACACACACACACACACACACACACACACACACACACTCCCTCTCTCTCTCTCTCTCTCTCTCTCTCTCTCTCTCTCTCTCTCTCTCTCTCTCTCTCTCTCTCTCTCTCTCTTCCTCTCTCTCACACACACACACACACGCACACACACACACACACACACACACACACACACACACACACACACACACACACACACACACACACACACACACACACACACACACACACACACACACACACACACACACAGAATTGAGCACCTGCAGAAAACTGAAATGCTTTCTACACCGACAAGTTTGAGTTGTGATCAGTCGCAAAACCTGGCATATGGCGCTCATGCACGCATGCAATGAAAGCCTTCCTCACTACCAACACGGCAAATGCGTATGGTCCTGTAATATAATTCTATATAGGATGAGACCAGCCACGTTGAACGGCGTTGGTATACTCTTCAGCGAATGTTTCCAATTGCGGCGCTGCACACAAACCCGGCCATAATTTTTGGCCGGCCGACAACAAGCGGAGAATCAGAACCGCAAATTCTCCGATGGAGAATTCTGCGACGGAAAGTTATCCGAACGCAAAATTTTCCCCCAGCTGAACGAACCCTTAAGCTCCAGAAGGTTGAGAGGTCAAACTCGCCATGGGAGGGAGATCAAATTGAACTTTGTGGCGGGGCGGTAGAAGCCCGTGGCCCACCAAAAATTATGCAAATCGATACCCGTGCTCACGGGAAATTGATTTTGAGTATGAAATGAATTCAGCACTGGAAACGTTTTATCAGTAAGATCTGATGCCTTATTACTGTACACAAACAAGCTTAGTCAGTCATCGTTCAGGCGCTGCTGGCACTGCTTTGAATGCAATGGAGAAGGCTGGTATTGAAGTGCGTGTTTGTAGCTCGGCAATGTTTTAGTCATGTGAAGAGGTGGTGAAATTGTATTTTTTGTCACCGACTGACTTTTTGCGGACAAAATTGTCGCCAGCAGCGTAACGCGATACCATATGACAACAAGTGACAATGACTTCCATGCCCAGCAGTGTAATCAGAAATCGACGATCATCGGAAGCCTTTATCACCGCAACTTGCAATATCATGCATGCAACCAGAACGCTCATCTTTACAATGTTTTTCAACTAATGTCAGGATAACTGTTGCTGCGGAGAATGCAGGCACACCAGACCAACGCAATGGAATAGTTCAATCACGAATGCAGTCGTTTTCCACACTGTACCTGTCCTGCCTTCGCTATACCTCGCGCTTGTGTTCGAACAGTACAGCGCGGTCTGTTGTGAGGTATGGTAAGCGTTGCGAACACTTTGTTAGCTAGCAACAATAGCACGGATCACTTTCATGACAGTTTTGGCGTTTTTAGAGTTCAAGCGATCATGTATGCTTTAACACGCGCTCGGGTGGGGGGTCAAATTGACGCAGCCACCCCCGAAAGTTTTTCCAGAATGGTTCCCGAACGACGCGGCGTAGCCGCGCCAAATCTCGCTTAGCTGTAGAAAATTGAATAGCAAATCGCTTGACTTAAAAAATTTAGATGTACCTTGTAAGGTCGCTGACCGATGGCAGGTTAAAATCAGGCCATGGTTTCAGCGAAGGCAATTTCTAGGGAATTCTTCAATCTGATCCAACAGCGGAGTGTTAGACGAAGTCATACATCTCTGAGATGCTTTCTTAGGCAACACAACGGCTGAATGAGCAAATTAAATTGACCTAAGGTCAGGTATGAAGGTCAAACCAAGGTCAAAACCAACCTGTTTTGTTGCTCTAGGGCTTGCTGTATAGGGTAGTTTCTGGTGCTCATTTCGAATTTATTGATAGCAGGAACCGCATTATAATCATCCATGGACTTCTTAGAGGTTAGAATAGGTCATTGACCTAAAATGACCCAGGTCAATATTTTGTTTTAGGAACATACTGTCTAGCGCAATCTTTGTCGCTTAGTCAAATGCAAAACTCAAAGCAATCTTCTATGATTTCGGTCGTCCTAACCTTCAAAAGGTCAGCCAAGGTCGCTGACCTTAAATGAGCATGTGACCTTTTGCTTAGAAACGGTTATCAAGGTTCTGGGGGCTTTTTGGAGACCAACCTGGAACTTGACCTTGTTTGACCTTTTCGACCCAAAGATCATGACCTAGGAACCTGAAAATTAGGGAGGTCAAATTGACCTCCCCCACCCGAGCGAAGGGCATCTAGCCGGCCACCCCGGCGCGTGTTAACCCTGCAGCATCTTCACTTAGTTCCGGGATATGTCATCCTTTAATGACGTTCATACTACCGTGTGGTTTGTTTTTATTGTGTTTTGTTCAGACGTCGTCGCCTGTTAGTTGAGTGCCGCTCTGTTGACGACAAACTAACAAATAAACAAATAAAACCGTGCAGCCCAACATCGGGATATATCCAACGTTGTTTTAAACAGCTGATCTCGTATACAACACGTCGGACCTTAACCACGTAAAATAGCCACGTAAAGACATCCCAGGCGTAAAGCAGATCTCATGATGAGCTTTTTAAAGCGAACGTGATGGACGGCTTAGGATACCCGTTTATGACGCGAGTGCAGAAGTCGTCAATAGGACCCCCGCGTTGAAAGCTGCACTCAGGAGCTACTGGAATATGATACCGGGCACACAAATGGGAGTCGAAGACGCTACTCATCCGCACCTTTTATGCCCTTAAAACGTCCGCAGCCGACAGGATTCGAACCTGTGCGGGGAGACCCCATTGGATTTCGAGTCCAACGCCTTAACCACTCGGCCACGACTGCCACGGCAAAGCTCCGTGTCGCGATACTTCGATAGCAATAGCGCGTACAACCGAGATAAAATTATATTACGTATGATTATCTCTCCGATAGTCATGTACGGAGATTCTTCATTTGCGTCCGGCAAGTCCTGATATTATACCCAGTTTCGTATTTCATGTGCCATGCACAGCCAACGGCGATAGATATGCACGGCGGAAAAAAGGTTCGCCGTCTCGCACATGCTCTAAAAGCTGTCCGGGATTCCTTCTCGGTGCGGATGAGTATCTGCGCTAATTCTCCGTGTTGGCGGTGCCGAACGCCATTGCAGGTAATTGTTCAGCATTGGGGATAATTCTCCCTGATTATCTGCGGTCCAACGCGCCCTAAAACTTGACTAGCTGCAAATTTGTGTATTTCTTCCTTGCAAAAACTCGCGCCGCTTTACCCGTGGGCCGCTGACCAAGAGCAGCCCAGCCACCTTGGAACCCGATTTCACCGAAACAAAGTCATGTCCTTCGATGGGTCACCGAGCCGTTCCTGCAAATAACTACGCTGCCCTGTTCATGGATGAAGCCCCGCAAAATGACAGGGATCCATTGTGTGTGCATCCATTTAACATATCATCTTGCTGTATCCGTCATTTGCTTGCAATATTTCATTGTGTAGTCAACACAAACAGCACAGTTCATGTTGCTTAATCCCGCAGACTATACAGAAATGGTAGCTAGAACAGAGCTTTGAGTTTAAAGTTCTTACGCTCCCTTTGCGACCTTTGATATGCCAAGAGATAATGGTTAAACGACGTTGTAGTAGCAATTATATTGACGGCATCTAATGCTGCGAGCCGTGCTCATCCTCTGTGATTCTTGTATGCCGCAAGACTTCTGATGACGAACGAAGCCCGAAATATTGAGCACCGTTAATATAATCGTGGTGTATTGGCTAGCGGCCCCGTTAGCACCTGTTCTTGTGTGCCTGATAATCTAAAATATCAAAGCATATTCTAACTCTATCTTAGGCTGTCAAAATGATCCCATCTTTAACACTGGACAGTGACACACAAAACGTGGACTTCATTAACACGCGTAGCAACGACAACGTATAATTGCGATGCTGCTACGCGCCTGTTCTCTGCGTGCCAAATTCGTCAAGCTATCTCAGGCATATCCAGATGCTTCCACCCACGTGTTAAATTACATCCGTATGTCATAGGTCAACATAACGGGATTCACCCAACAGCTCATACCACGCACATGCCGAACGCTACATGGATGATGCTCCGATCAGCATGGGTGTCGATTTTTCAAAATGATTGGGGGGGGGGGGCGGTCTTGGAAGTCGCCTTAGTAGGACAGGTACGAAAAACTTCTCGGATGTAGTCCACATATGTTCTGGTGTATGGCTACGCATTACAAGTGTATATATATATATATATATATATATATATATATATATATATTCGTGTACCTAGGCAGTATGGTTTCATAGATGCAAGTTTTGTTAAAGGTAAGAGCAAATGAACATTTAGTCAGATTCTCGTGTTTTTGCTCGATTGCTCGAATTAAAACCTTCGTTGTTTTCGGTAAGTCATAAATCCACTCGTCTGCAGTCACATATATAAGTTTAAGCCAGCTAACGTTTCAAGGACATTCTTTCCCCAGTCGCAAAGCAATGGAAGATGGTCGGACGCAAAACATTCGAATATTGCAAAATACGAGGCATGCTCTGAGAGACATAATCATTAATGAACCATCAGCTGCCAGATTATGCATCCTGACACCTATTCAAATTAAAAAAACGCATAAAAACACACGCCCATCACTTTTCCAGCCAGTCTAACACAATGGGAAGGTAAAGACATCGAAACACATTGCTGTTGGGTGACTGCACAGGTCCAAAGCAATGCATGGCTGAGGCTGTTAGTTTAAGTCAGGCATTTTTTCTCTGATGAGGATGGGTTCAAGAACTTGTAGACGGCGTGTGTTTGGACATGACTTAAGAATCAGTGTGTTTTCAGCCAGGTATATGAGATATGAGAGCTTAGTCAGGTATATGAGATATGAGAGCTTAGTCAGGTATATGAGATATAGAGCTATGAGATGCACGCTTACATGAGGCCTGCACTGTCCCACGGATCCCCAATCGACGCAGTGGCCCTCTGACTGGCCTTGAAGGTCAGGGGCCAACGGCGGGATGCGTTCTTAGGGCAACCTACGGCAGGTCCTTCTGGCTCTATGGCCTCTTCAGCCCTCCAATCGGGCCCTTGATCTTTGGTCCCGAGCGGGCATGCCCTTTTGTGCCCTTTTTTGCCTCCTTGTGCCTTTTATTGTGCCCTTTTTCGGCCTCCTCAAACAAAGGTCGTGACGGACTCAGGGACACTTACCGACATATGGCCTACGGTTAGGTACCGTGGATCCATGACCGACACTGGGGCCCAATCATTGTTTCAGGCACCCAGACCAATGCAAATCATGGGCTAATGCCTCTTTCAAAAACAAAGACCACACTACACCTACAACGCACTGCATAATACTTGCCAGCCTTTGACACGACGAAATGATTGAAGATTCGAAATAGTATTTCCTACGATGTTTTCAATGATAAATGCAATTTCCACCCAATATTCAGCTCCCTACCGTCCTGGGGTACGTCAACCACCGTTGCGTCAGAAAGCCTCGCTTGCGTCGGCGCTTGGTGTCCGCGTTAAAGCGTCACGCCGTCGCCCATGGCAACCGATGAGATTGTCGGCAAAAACTTCCTAAAAGAGCTGCAATCCGCCATAGGTGTCCACTAATCCACTGCAAAATATAAATGGAAAAGTTTAAGTTTCACAAATATAAAACCAATGAAGTTGATAAAGAGACCGAAAATGTCCACAAAACCACATCAATCTTCACTCTCACTGAAATGAAGCTCTTAAAAGACCATGAAGGTGTACCTCTGGCGACGTCAATCGGCTGAACCGTGCGGACACGTGCACATGTACATCGTACATGCAAATACGTGTACGTTGGGATGACAACGGCCTGATAGGAAGAATACCACGGTGCACTTTTTTAACACATGCTGTGAACACAGGATAAAACCGTGGCGCAAATGCTAGCAAGACAAAACATGGAGCACACATCACACGTTCGTGATAATCTACATATATATGATAACGTTTTATATTATCACCTGTTGCCACCATTCCGATTCTGCCCGTGAGCGAAGGCATTGTAACGCTCGCTTGTTGTAAGCCGCTGAGTGCGCAGAGCGATGCTCTCTCACCACCATCATATCATTCACACTACCTGCCAGGAGAAGTATTGAATTGCCAGCTGATGTTCGGACACTGCCTGTGTGCAGTGAGGAATAACTCACACCAATGAAATGCTGTAAGTTGCACACGGAACAGGTTCAAATCAATCTTCAATAAAAAAATCGCATGAAACAATCAAACAATCTTCTCTTGTTTCAATAAAGGCATGTTGCCGAAATATCAAGCCAACTGTATCTCAATTTTCCTGTTTTTTCTCCGAACACTAAGGCTAATACTACTATTTTATCTATGTGAATAATGCTCCTCGCATATGCACTGAACAACTTCTGCGACTTCAGACATTGATGAAATAATGAACTATGTAAACGTCCTAGATCGTTGAAAAAGGCATTGCACATTTTTGAACAATGGTCAGCAACGTAGCAACTTAGAAATAGCACACAAAACGACTTATACCCTTGGACGAATATTGCACAGCTTACCTTGCATGTGGAACTTACCAGCCTTCACCAAGGCTAGGCAGTCCCTGCCAGCACTGAAGACTGTTGGCGTTATATACGTCTGAGGCAAGGGTTTCCGCTCAGTGAGCTTCCGCCGATCTCCGGCACCGACTATACGTACTCTACGAACGGCACCGCCCCGTCCTCTTCACACGCTGGCCACAGTGCCTACTATCGCATCCCGCATTCCATAACGATCCCTGTCCCTTCAACATACGGCCGAGGTGTACGAAACCAGTGCTGCCTGCATCCAGTCGGAGCCCAAACGCTCCGCCCGGCTCTGACATTCCGAGAAGATCAGCCAGTGGTCTAGTTCATGACGGACCGGACGGACCAGAGTTCATGACGGGCCGGACGAAGACGAGTCGCCCGCTGCAGGACCGCTGACCGCGCTCCGGTCTCACGGTTCGGACGTCGTACCTTGATCGATCAATGCAGCGCTTGCTCACCTTCCGCCGCACCACCGCTAGGCCGCTTCACCTGGACCCACGTGTTCAGGCCCCAATGACCCCAGGCTTCATCATCGACAACACATCCGGCAGGCTCGGGGCGAGGCCCGCCCGGGCCGGCGGATCATTCAGCATCACAGGATCGCGCAGTATCGCGCATATTGCGCAGTATCACGCGGATTACTAAGTCACCACGTCAGTCCAGGACCAGCCCGCCGTGGTCACGGCGTCCGGGACAACTCCGGCGGCCCCCGCCGCCACGAGCGAGCGCCTCTGTTACGGTTGCATCAGCGACCGTATCAGGTAGCCCGTCCCCGGCAGTCAGAGGGCGCACTGCCCTCAGCGTCATCTCAACAGCTCAAGCGTTGAACTTTCAGTCAGCTATTCAACTGTGCGTCAACTGAATAAACTGCAGTGGCCGTAGTGGCCGCCGCTGCGCGAGCTGGTGCCCAATCAGCGCCCGGCCGCCGTCCCGCACTACCAGCGATGCCGTCCCGCACCGCCCGGCCGTTGAGCCGCGCCGCCTCGCGCCAGCATTCCTCACCGGCCCACTGCGCACCTAGTGAACCCGGCTTGACTGTCGCCATAGAAGGTGTGTGCCAGGACATAGCCATGTAGCTCAGATTGCGCACCGACATTTAGCCTGGACTGAAACAACCACGGGTGCAAGCAAGTCCGCGATGAAAAGTGTGTCCAGTTATTACAATGGACCGTGCTATGTGACAATTACATTATTAGTGAATGCGCTTGGCATCATGTCTCATTACCCTCTGTGCATTGATTACCACGTTAACGTTTTCATGTCGTCTT